AATGCCGATATCAGGCTTCAGGTTAGTCTTAAAGGTTATTAACTTGGGCATGAAATAGAAATTTCTGGTTCTGGGTATTTATTATTATCCTATGATAAGATACAGTTGAATAAACTTAATTCATTTCTTTCTACTTAATGAGCAGGTCAGGGGTACAGTAGAGCAACCTTTGCTTGACGGGTCTGCATCATTCCATAGGGCGTCAATATCTTCGCCAGTGCTCCGTAAACCTCTCACAAACTTTGGTGGAACTTTACATGTTAAATCAAATAGGTTGTGTATCAGTTCATTGGAAAGTAGGGTAAGCAGAAGGGGAAAGCTTGTTGTCAAGGGTAATCTTCCCCTCAGATCAAATGAGGCATCGTCCTTTGGTGATGGAATAGAGCTGAAATGCGAAGTTCTAGAAGTACGGGCAAAGAATGTTTTAAGGTACTTTATCCAGAAACTCAATTTCATTAACCAATATTGATTCCTCTTCACGAATGCATATTCTGTCTTCCCATCACACTTTTGGTTGATAAACTTTTTGAGCTTCTGCTATACCTTTTTGTTTAGGTCATATCATTTATGGGTTGTTAAACTTGTTACCTTTATTATTCAGTGGTCAGGTTGATACGCAGTTGCAAATTACTGGATCAATATTGCAACCAACCATCTCGGGAAAAATCAAGTTAAGCCATGGAGAAGCTTATCTACCTCATGACAAGGGTGGCGGAGCTGCCCCTTTCAATAGACTGGCTGCAAATCAATCCAGGATTGCTGGTGCTACTATCAATCAAGCAGTTGCTTCAAGATCTTTCACACGGTTTTTTGGGTCAGAACCCGCTTCCTCGAGAATGAAATTCTCACAGCCATCTGGTAAACTCGAACACTTTTCTGGTAGCATCAAATCTACGGGTTTAGCAAGATCTAATGTTCTCTGTTTGTTCTACCTCTCAGCAGGTGAAACAAATTCTGCTGAGGAAGAGATTGAAGAAGTGAAAATCAAGCCGAACATGGATATCCGGCTCAGCGATTTGAAGCTTGTCTTAGGACCGGAGTTGAGAATATTGTATCCTTTAATTCTCAATTTTGCTGTTAGCGGCGAGCTTGAGTTAAATGGCATGGCTCATCCCAAATACATCAAACCAAAGGGTATTCTAACATTTGAGAACGGAGATGTCAATCTCGTGGCTACTCAGGTTTGTCGAAACTTCCTGTTTCCAACTCTTTGTCCATGTCGGTTCATTCCTTTTGCTACATTCTGGGTTTTTTTAAGCACAGGTTCGGCTGAAGAGGGAACATCTCAACGTAGCGAAATTTGAGCCGGAACATGGACTAGATCCTATGCTAGATTTAGCTTTAGTTGGTTCGGAGTGGCAGTTTAGGATTCAAAGTCGTGCCAGAAACTGGCAGGACAAAATTGTAGTGACTTCGACGAGTTCCGTCGAGCAGGATGCTCTCTCACCTTCTGAGGTAAAAAAACCATTACCATTTACCCTTTTGCTCACTTCTGGAAATCATCCTCTGAACATTCTTCTTCATCGTTTAACTTAAAGTTCGTTCCTTTTCCATACTTTTCTTCATCCACTTCCTAGGCTGCAAGGGTTTTCGAAAGTCAATTAGCGGAATCGATACTAGAAGGCGATGGACAACTTGCATTCAAGAAACTCGCGACTGCGACTCTTGAGAGCTTAATGCCAAGGATAGAAAGCAAAGGGGAGTTTGGTCAGGCAAGGTGGAGACTAGTGTATGCACCACAGATCCCGAGTCTACTCTCCGTCGATCCTACAGTCGATCCTCTTAAATCTCTTGCCAACAATATCTCATTTGGAACTGAGGTCGAAGTGCAGCTCGGGAAGCGCCTTCAGGTCAGGCTTTTAAACTAAAATCTTTTCCCTCCGATGTAGAGCTGGGCAAACAAAAAACCCCCCGAATTTTGGGTCGGATCATATACCGAACACTATATGGGATGAGATTGGGTATAGCGTGAGGAAAACCTGGAAACCGGGTTCAGGTTTGGGTTCAGTAATTGCCCGCTGCTACTGAACGAACTGTAAAATGACATTTTTGTCACTAGGTTACAGAGATATTACATAAAAACTATTGAAATTTCGGGTTTCAGTATGGATAACTCGAAATTTTGGATATCCGATCCGAGTCTAACTTTTCAAAATTTTCAAAATTTCGTATTTAATACCAATCAAAATGGATAAAAAACTGGGTAATATCTCATGAGACCCGTTCGGACCCGTGATCACCACCACTAGTTTTTCCCACGTAGCTACCAAAGCAAAAGGAAGTAACAAGCTCCTCTACTCTTTTTACTTGTAGGCCTCTGTGATCAGACAGATGAAAGACTCGGAGATGGCGATGCAATGGACATTGATCTATCAGCTCACGAGCCGTTTGCGTGTTCTCCTCCAGTCCGCGCCTTCGAAGCGTTTGCTTTTCGAGTACTCTGCCACATCCCAAGACTGAACACAGAAGAGAGGGAGTATTCTGTTTGCAGATTTTGGTCATTACGTCCTTCTCGTGCCTCACTTCGCATCTCTTGATAGTAGAGACTTCATGGCTTCTGCTATATAGATTATTATTATTTCATTATTTGGTCAGGAAGTTTTTGTTTTACATTTTTGTCATTTAATTGTAAATTATGTAAATGGTTAATGTTAAGATTTTTTTAAAAAAGAAATTCATATTTCCTGAAAGTCTCTATATATTTTATAAAAGAAATACAGTAGAACCTCGTCTGCAAACGCACCAAATTTATACTGTATTTTTTAGACGAGTTTTGTGCGCTTCCCTGTTTCCCGGACAATCCTCGTTCGGAAAAGTAATCTCAATTTTATTTAATGTTAATAAATATTTTTAGTTGATGGCGGTATAGTCTACTCAATAACGACATAATATACAATTTTTTTTAAAAAAAAGAATCAGGTACTCTTGAATCTTGATAAGATAATATTTTAGAGAATTTATCGTAAGAAAAGTATAATTTACAAAGTTTAAAAAAATACACCGCCAATCTTTCTTACAAAAAGTTCATTTTTTGCAAATTTATATGGAGCCATCTTTGTGCTTTGGGCTTCAATCATAAGGCCCATAAAATTTTTATTTTTGGGTTGGTCTATCCGAGCCTTCAAAGTTAATATCATTTCAACTGAAATTATTCTGTTGAAAAAAAAACCACTATTGAAGAAGAGACAAATTTAATTTTAGTTCCTTCAAACAGGAGAAAACAGAGAAAAATGAAATACTATCAATTGGGCCTTTTGCTTAAAAATACAAAAAAAAATTGAAACAAAAAAGTGCAAACAAAAGCGGCAACGGTTCAAACAAAAAAGCTTTACAAAAGAAAGGAAGGATCAAATTCCCCCACCCCTACTCCCAGGCTGATGATGATAATGGTGAGCCCAGCTCCTGCTTTCAGGTCCAACCGCGGAGCCACCATGAGAGTGATGCGAATACGATGGTGGAATCAGATTCGAGTTCAAATTCGGATTCCATTCTGGTATATCATTCTCGTCATCACCATCATCACCGTGGTGAAAAGTTCGAGACATCGATTTACCATATTTGTGAATAAGTTCACGAACCTGATGCAAGGATTGAGAACGGCTATGCATCGTCGTCCTCTGGTTCATGACAACGTGCCCATGAGAGCCATAATTAAACTCAGGCAAGTCATCCTCGTCATTTCCCTGAGGCATGGCCGAAGCCACAGCCCCAGGACCAAACCCAGGGGGCAAATCGCAATCATCGTCGTCATCATGGTCATGGTCATTCTCCAGGACCATATCACCATTACGGGTCTTATTCACGGTAGAAGAACCGCCTTTTCCACGGTGGTGGTTGTGAGATTTAGTCGATGATGATGATAGTACACTACTTGGTTGTTTTAATTGAGATCTTCTCCATACAACAACACCTATAAGACCATGGTCTAAAGATTTCAAGAAATCTAGTTGGTTTCTCGTAACGATCTTGCTGATGATTTCGGTGGCTCTGCCTTTGGTAGGGCAGAGGTAAAGCTCTACTCCTGCAGCTGGCTCCACGAATCCGACTCTCTCGTCTTTGATGTATGAGTCCACAACCTGTGCATAATATGCCTGGCTGTTTTGTTACCAAGTCCAAGAATAGAACAAGAGCCGAAGGCGTATACTAGTTCAATCCAAAACCCTTTGCCCTTAACGCAAAAATATGTCTTTTATATTATTGTTTTACCTCGGAAAGGTTGTCTCGCTCTGTTTTGGGACATTCTTCCTTGCAGGCGAAACACATAACCTGCAATGTAAAAGCAAACATTACATTATACCAAAGCAATGACTGACTATCAAAAAAAAAATCTAAAGGTTTCTATTCTTATTGGGGCATCAAAACATTTTCAGGAAGAGGCATTCTCCTATTAGCTTCCACCGCCTTTCGTGGTTTCATCAACCACCATTGCAATTCACAAGGGTTGTCTTTTTTGGTAAATTTAGATTATAGTAGTTAGGGTTCTCGTACAAATCTTCACCCATGGCTGCTTTGGTTGCTCAAGCTTACAGTAAGTAAATCATGGAAGTCAAGTAACCAGCAGGAA